GCCCCAACTCCACCTCCCAGAGTGAAGCTGGAGCCGAAGGAGAAATGAACTTCACCTCCGTGCACACAATGGGCCAGTAAGAATCTAGATGCACCCGCCCCGTGGTGAACCTCGTGTGGTTTCATTTACTCTGGGCACCCAAACTTACCGAAAGAGGCACAGCGAAAAACTACCCTTGACCGACCTAAACTGCCCTACCTACCCACGCACAATACTAAACAGGCACTGCACAGAAGCAGTAAAAGCGAGGATCGGGGTGCCAGGAGCAGTTACACAAGCCGTCCTCGCTTGCCAAATTGACTTTCCGCACGCTGGCGCGCCTGTGACCCTCCCAACCGGGCCAAGCACGGAGCCCCTGCACCTTGGTCAGAACACGGGAATATTGATCAGACGGCAAAACTGCTGTCAGTTCTCTACCCAGCGGGGGAGGTGGGCAGGGAGGCTTGCTTCAAAGCTGGGGAGGGCCATGGGGAGAGAGACACACTTTCAATTAGTCCTAAATTCAACCAAAAGATCCAGACTAGGAGCCTAAAGGAGATAAAACGTCAGCCCTCGAAACTGCTTTTGTGCAAGTTTTCGGGGCATCTAAGGCCTGTCATGCTCTTTTGTCTTATGTTTGTTTCTGTGCTTGGTACGCAGCACCTGTTTACTGATAAGACTGAAAAGAGGAGAGAGAGAGACAGCCGAAGAAGGAAGGAGATGCTGCTTCCATAGTTGCATGAAATACCATGGTTTACGATGGAGGGCTTTATTCAGTTTCCCAGAAAGTGCCCCTCAGCCAACAAACCACAGTAGTTTGATTCCTAAACCTGCTCCTTCTAGCATCTTGTAGTTCACAGAGCCAACTTGCCCTGGCCAGCACACCTATGTTCCCTAACTTAGCATGCTAACCCCGCACCCCCATCCCGCAAAAGGCCTGTCCTCTCCTCACCCCTGTTTTTCTTTTGCCAGTCAGAGCACATCTTTCCATCCATCTCTAGCTACATAACCGCAGAGCCATCGAGTTCTCCTAAAGCCCACTTTCTAGGAGAGTCACTGGACTGCCTCCCATGCAGAACAGTAAAGGAGTGAGCCATCCAGAGGTCTCCATGGACCAGCAGCAGGAAGATAGAGCCACCCCAGTTCATCCCCAGAGGGAACGGGATGGAGGCAGAACACACTCTAACGATTGCCTTGGATGGGATTTTTTCTCACAGGACAGTGTCCCATAGAATTGTTAAGGTTGTAATCTTTGCAGGAACACATTGCCACATCTTTCTCCAGTCAAACAGCTGGTGACTTTAACTCACAGACCCAACTCATTTGCTGTTTTCAGCATAGACTCAAAGAGAACTTGCTCTGTTCTAGGAGCAGGAGATAAGGTTTGATGGCAATTTGCATGGACGGCTTAGTTGGAAGGGGTTAGCTACTTAATTTCGATTTGCAGCTTGGATGTTGGAGAACTGACAAGAATGCTCAAATATGGTTAATTCTTGGGAGTCCCTGGAAGCCCTTCCAGTAATTGTTATCTATACTCCAACCCATGCTCAGATAAGCAATAAACCCAAGTTTGTGTGTGCTTCATCACCATCGGGCAGAATGAAAAACACCCTGAATTTTGACCCGGAAGCTTTACCTTCTATCAAGGTGAACTGGCCAAATGATCTCTCTGAGCTTCAGTTTTCTCATCTATAAAATGAGGATCTCAGTCCATTGCAGTGTGATTTTGCCTAGTTGTCTTGCTTCTCTGGGTATTGGTTTCTTCATCTGTGAAAGACAGAGAGAGCTTCTAACAGCAGTCCCATCCCCCTGCCTTGGGAGCCCCGCCAGAGCATGAGATTGGGGACCAGAAGTCACCAAAGAACAGCCACGGGCAAGGTCAGCAGGACCGTGATGGGAACTGAACTGGGTGGGTGCGCCTTTCCCCTTCCAAAACCCATTCTGGCTTGCAAACAACTCAACCCTTTTTCACCACTCTAAAAGAGCACTAAAGCTGCGTTGGGGGATGTAAACAGTGGAGTCTACCCCAGCCCCCTTACCACAACTTACATGCCCTTACTCTTGAGGCTGGCCTGACCATCTTGATGAAGTCAACATGCATGGTACTTTACAGACAGATGCAGATGCCACCCCACCCCTTAACTTGAGAAAGAAAAAAAAACTTGTCATGGAGTCAATTCAGACTCATAGCAACCCAGTAGGACGGAATAGATAGACACACAAAACCTACCGTCTCTGTAGGTTTCTAAGACTGCACATCTTTATGGGAACAGACTCTTTTATCTTTTCCCTCAGAACTGCTGGTGGGTTCGAACTGCTGGCCCTTTAGTAAGTAGCCCAACAAGTAACCCACTGTGCCATCAGGGCCCCCTGAGAAGCATATACTCAAACCACACTCACTGTTGTTAAATCTAGTCCACCTCCTAGGGAACCTGTAGGACAGAGTAGAACTTCCCTTTTGGGTCTTCAAGACTAACTCTGTCCGGGAACAGACAGCTTCATCTTGACTGGTGAGTTTGAACCGTTGACCTTTTGGTTAGCAGCTTAATTCTTAGCCCATGACACCAGCAGGACTCCCTGATAGAGACATTGAGGGGGGTGGCGGGGGGAATACCTCACTACCATCAAGTCAATGCCAACTCATAGTGCCCCTATAGGACAGGGTAGAACTGCCCCCTGTAAAGTTTCCAGTCTCTCTCTCTCTCTCTCTCTCTCTCTCAGCAGCTGGTGGTTTTGTTTTTGTTTTGAATAAATAATTTTATTGGGGGGCTTTTACAGCTCTTATAACCATCCATACATCAATTGTATCAAGCAAAGTTGTACATATGTTGCCATCATCATTTCAGCTGGTGGTTTTGAACTCAACCCAACACGTAACCACGACGCCAGGACTCCTTTATAGACACAGCTGGATATCAAAGCCTTGACCCTCGAACCAGACTTGACTCTAAAGTGCCCTCCTCTGACCTGCTGCCCATCCTAATCCAACATAAGCTAGGGAAAAGCCACAGCGCCTCCCTTATATTTAATCAGTTAGAATCAGAATTAAAAGAGCAACAAGGATTGCCATGAGGAGGAGAAGTAGGGGGAATCCCCAAACCTAACTTGACTTCTCTCTGGTGGCCTTCCCACCTGCTGCGATCTGTCTACTCTCTCTTCCCCCAGCCATGTCCTGGCCGGCTTCTAATCATGCCTCGGGTTTCAGGTTATACCACCTCCTGGCTTGAAGTCTATGCGTCCGTAGACTTTGACACTTGCTGTCTTGTAACATTATTTATTCAACTCCATCTTCCAGATCTGCCTGGATCGTGTCTGTGGGGCCCACGCCCAGCATGATCTCAGAGCCTAGAAGGTGCTCGGCAGTGTTTATATAATTATATAACAGGAAGGGGTGGCAACTCCACCCCCATGCCCTGGGGGTGAGGGTTGGGAACTAGTTAGGGGCCACTGTAGTTCATCTCCGATCTTTTCTTACCACCATTTGCCCATCACTTCCTTCTCTCAAAGCTGGCTCCCTAAGCCATACCCCAGGCCCTTAGTCATTGAAACCAGAAAGAACACCCCTTCCCCCATCCCACCGCCCCACCTCCAAGCACTTAGAGTGAAGACCTTTATTCTCCCTCCTACATAATTTGAACCAAAACACTACCACTGACTTCAATAACCAAAACTACACCAAGCTCACTGCCATTGCGTCAATGCTGACTCACAGCCATCCCCCTGAGACTTTAAATGTTTATGGGAGCTTGAACCGCTGACTCCATTCTTAGCCCACGACACCAGGGGGGCTTCCTGATAGGGACAATGGGGAAACATGAAGCTGCCCCTGGAGCTGCTGATGGTTTCAAACTGCCAACCATGTGGATCGCAACTCAAGGCCCAACCACTACAGCACCAGGGCTACTCGGTGAAGGCAAAATGGAAGTACCCTCCCCTTCTGCCCCCAAATAAGTGCCCTGTTGTCAAAAATGTCTTTACTAGAAGCAGAATCCATGGCAGTTGACGAGGTTTTTAACACAAATTCACCCAGAACGTAGAAAAGATAACTTATATTCTCACTTCCATTCGAAGAGGTTCTGGGTGTGACAGTAACTTAGAGACTTGCCTTTGCACAGCAATGTAACACATGATCTGTTCTTTATTTCACAGCGGCCCTGTGAAGTTGGCCACAACAGGCATTATCACCACCCTCAGATTTTGAGGATCCAGGCTCCGAGAGGAAGATTACTTGACCTGCCAAACGTCGCCCAGTTATCAAAGGGCAGATTCCAGCCTAGGTTCTCTGATTTCGTCTGCTGCCACAGCTGGCACCGCCTCTGGGAAGTCGTGTCCAAATCTTCAGCAGGATGGTGAGAGACCAAGCCGAAAGGAGAAGAGGAAATTGTCCAAGTCCCCAACCATTTCGCAACCTTCTAGAACCAATACTGCCCCACCCCACCCCCACCCCCACCCCCCACGTCTTGCCCAAATGTGGTCTTGCATTCATTGACTCTCTCCTCGGGGCCTGATTGGCCCGACAGGGCATTATGTTCCCGTATGGAGTTCACAAGTCAAATCCTGTTTCCTGTGCTTTTCCATAAGACAGATTGCAATGAGGGCTTTGATTCAAATGTGGCTCGAGCCATGAGGGCGCACTGGTTTCAAAGACTGGCCTCGAGGTGTTGTTCCGCCACGTGCGCACCGGAAGTCCCGCCTTTGATTGCTTGGAACGCAACTTCTTGAACTCAGAAAGAAGATATGTAAACTTCCCCCACAAAGCGTGTGCAATGAAAGCCCCTTGGAACTGCCTTACAGTTGTGTGGACACGAGGACAAAGCCCCCCTGACAGTATGACAACGTATTGCTGAGGGTCCCAGGGAAGTGGTCCCCTGCTCCATGAACGTAAAGGAGCCCTGTGGTGCAGTGGGTTACGTGTTGGGCTGTTCGCCACAAGGTAAACAGTTCGAAACCACCAGACCTCGCTCGTGTGGTAGACAGAGGGAAGCTGTCTGCAACAACCTTGCCGGGTGCAGGGTCTCCACAAGCCTTGCATTTGTTTAATTATCTGTGAAGTGCAAGAGAGCAGTAGAACGAGGTATGCCTACACAATGGCTGGTAGCCTGGCTTCAAGCATCGAGTGTTAGGAGCGCCGCCAAAGCAAGCCTCG